TCTTATTATAATCATCCTCAAGGTCAATTCCATGGCTTCTACATTTCCATTATTAGCACTGTCATTCCTCCTTTAGCTGGACTTGTGCCTCTGAAATAACCTTCAAAGTCAAAATATTCTCAAGCTCATTTACGAAGAACCATTTGCTCAACTTACATAACAGCATACAAGCCAGTCCCTCATCCATATCTCCACTGTCTAATCCTATTTCTTGCTCCCATTACTTTTCATTGTATCATTCCAGTAACCCACATTACTTTCCTACATCAGCACTTGTAAATGTCCTATAGATGTCATTAGATATGAAAAATATACTTTAACAAAATCTTTTGAAACTATTCAATGTCTGTTGAACAGAATCACCTGTTATGCCCTCAGTTATACAATCAAGTTCTTTCACAATATGATTCCAATCTAAACATCCAACCAAACTTCCCACTAAATTTCTTGGCTACTCACCATGCTTCTCTAGTTGATAACATTATATATCATCATATGTAACAATGTAAACACAAAAAAACTACATTGAACACAAAAAATACAAAGAAGAAACATTTGATGGGTGCCTTTGGGATGCTCAACACATAACAAGAAACAGAAAAAAATTTAAGTCCCTATGCAAAAGGAAAGCGTCTTATCAAATGAATGGACAGGAAGATGTGAGCACAAAGGGAATGTAAGAATTCATTTTGCCTGAACACTTAGAGACACTAAGGTTGGGGATATCCTAAAAGGGAAAGATATTAAAGAAATACGGGGGCAGGGGGAATATAGAACATAGGATTCTTGCAATTTCTCCCTTTCTCCTCCATAGTATTGTTTTGAAGACTGGAAGCAATTTTGCCAGAAGAAATCTGTCAGTGTCTAAAGACATTTGATTGTCATGACTAAGGAGAGGTACTACCTGCATAAAAGTGAGTCAGGAAAAATGCTACTCAACATCCTACAGCACAGACTATTGCCCTCCAAACTCAAGGAACAACTAACTGAAAAACATCAACAGTGCTGCAATTAAGCAAGCAGAGTGAAGGAGAGGGTGAAGTTGAAATCATTCAGTGATGTGAAATAACACTGAAAACACTGACACTGACAGAGGAGAATGAATCATGCCCAACAACTATACTCACCAAAAACCAAAAGTGAATACAAATCAGAGCAGAGGGTCAGAATCAGCAATCATGCTCATCATAGAAAGAATCATGAAAGGGGGCTGGAGAGATAGCTCAGCGGTTAAGAGTGCTTACTGCTCTTGCAGAGGACCTGTATTCAGATCGCAGCACCCATGTCAGGCAGTTTACAACCACCTTCAAGTCTAGGTCCAGGGAATCTGACAATTTCTTATGGCTTCTGGGGGCACTCACACACATGGAATACACTCACACAGACACACACATGCATAAAATAATAAAGTTTTAAAAAAGAATCATGAAATGGGATAGACAAAAGTATCACAAAGTAGATCTCGAGACAATGGATTATGAGGGAAGGGAACAGATATGGCAAGGGGCTGAAGCAGAGGAGATGAGTACCTTCTGTTGTTACACAGCATCAAATTCAACAGATACTTAATGCACAGCTGCTACTAGGGGAAAGCACAGATAAGTAGGCATAATACTTGCCTTCAAAAACAATGGATTTCAGACTAGTGAGGTGACTCAGATTAAAGGTGCTTGCCACCAAGCCTGGTACCCTGAGCTTGATCCCCATAACCCAAGTAAAGGAGGAAGGAAAAAATTAAACAAGCACATGCCATGACACATATGTGCCCATACTCACACACACACACACAGACACACTAAATAATAATAAATAATAATAATAATAATAAATTTTCTTTTAAAAAACTGAATTTCAAGGAGCTGGAGAGATGGCTTAGCAGTTAAGAGCATTGGCTGCACTTACAGAAGACCCAGGTTCAAATCTTAGCACTCACATGGTGGTTAACAACCATCTGTAACTCCACAGATCTGACGTCGTCTTCTATCCTCCCTGCGCATTGTACCACATGGGTACACTTAACATGCATGCAGGGAACAGTCATACACATAAAATGTTTAAAAAATTAAAAATAAAAAAAATTAAATTAAAACTGGATTTCAATAGGAAAAATTAGATAAGAATATAAGTTATTAAAAAGAGAAAATGAGATATGTGTCTTAAGGGAAATATGCAAAGGTTACAATGTACATGACCTTGCAAAGACCAAATTTTGTGATACATACTTTTCCTCAATATTCTTTTGCTCCTCTACTGAGGAAAAAAAATAGAACAGTAAATTCTCCATCCTTGAGTGCAGTTTTGCAAGCCCACTAGAATTAGTATAATTAGAAAAAGAAAGTATTCTGTATTGTCAATGGTCAAAATTATTATAACCAGGCAAAAGCTGGACATTCTATAAGGAATCTCAATAGAGACTTGACTTTTCACTGAAAGCAATGGAAAAGGAACATCTAATATCCTAGAGCAAATCTTGTGCCACTGAGCAGCTCTTAGTCATGGCTTTTGTTTTGTTTTTAAACTTTAGGTGGGTTTATTTCTCCTGAGGTTAGAAAGCCATCCACAGGACAGCTCTTTAAGTATTCCCCTCAGAGGGAGCCTCACACTCAACATGAGAAAATAGTTAGAGAAATCCCTAATGGTACAGCCAACATACATTTTTCATAAAGTGATTATCCTCCTGCAGCCTCAGCTTCCTAAGCCTTTTCTCCTGTCTATAATTGTTTTCCGTGTAGGCTAGGCAACAATTACCACTACTACAAGACTGAAGAGGTTCACAAGCAATATATTTTACAATACAGAAGTGTAGTCTCTCTGATATCTGGTGCTTTTATCACTAATTGCACTATAAAATACGCTATTAAAACAGGGACAAACAAGATTGTAAAAATCACATAATGGACCATGACTGCATACTAAAGCCATTCATAAATGGTACTGTACTATGTATTTTTCTTGAATTTTCCAGCTACATAATTATTTTTCTAAATTTTTATTTCTAGGAGTTACCATTAAGAAAAAGAGCAAACCTTTTATATCTAGAGGACACCAAGAAAAACAATGAAACATGCATGCATGCTCTTGAACACACTGCTTTACACATTTGCTCCAAATTAAAATCATATCACATATTACGATGAAACGATGCTCTCTGAATGCTAACTTCTAGGTCAAATATGTGGCTCCTTAAAACAAATGACAAGTACAACAGACACATTTAAGCTCTGATTTCTCCTCAAATTTTAGACTTTGGCCTGAAAGCACAGAGGAAAACCACAGAAGGATTTCACAAGTCCAATTTATGAAATATACAATACAACAGAGCCGATAAAACATTAATATCTTGGGGAAAGAAAGAATGATCAAAGGGTGATATTACTGCCAATTACTGGAGGATGTGGGTCAGTGGGACAGCCTACAGCGTTTCATATGCTGCCAGCACTCACCAAGTCATGGCTAATTGTCAAGATGCAGGTGAGCTTTTCAACCCCTTCACTATTCACTCATGCGTCTAACCATTAAAAAATAAAAAAAAAAATTAAAAAAAAATTAAAAAAAACAAACAAACAAACAGAAATCGGGGCTGGAGAGATGGCCTTGCAGAGGATCCAAGTTTGATTCCAGCATTCACATGGTAGCTAATAACCATCTGTAACTCGTTCCAGGGTATCTGACAACCTCTTCTGACCTCTGTAGCACTATACAACACAGGTGCACTCACATAAATGCAGGCAATACACTCATACACATTAAAAAAAAAAAAAAAATAAAATATTTTTTTAAAAAGCCAACTGAAACTACTGTTCATTTTTCCTTAACCATTAGAGCTAAGTGAGAAAAACACAACATTAATTTATCATGTTAAGTCTCATTGAAAGTAAGTGGAGTACCACAACACTCCATCTGCATCAAATGCTCACAACCCGTGACACTAGAACAATGTCAACTGTCAAATGGAATAAATTACAAACAGAAATCAAGAATAAGAGAAAAATACATAAATAAGATTTTAAAAGCCAGGCATGGTGGTACAGACCTTTAATCTAACCACAAGGGAGGCAGAGGCAGGCAGAGCTTTGTGAAATTGAGGCCAGTCTGGTTGACATACCAAGTTCCAGGCTAGCTGTAGATATGGGGAAGAGCTAAAACTAAAAATAGGGGAGATTAGGGCTGGAGAGATAGCTCAGCAGTTAAGAGCACTGGCTGCTCTTGCAGAGGACCTGGGTCAAGTTCCCAGGCCCACATGGCAAGAATACCTGTAACTCCAGTTCCAGGGAATCCAATGCCCTCTTCCAACCTCTGCAGGCACCAAGAATATACATGGTGCACACATCTATCTATCCAGATAAAACACTCATAAACATAGGTAAAAATAAATACATCTAAAATGAAAGAGAATTAAAACAATCATATTTGTACTATTTGTCATAAATAACTCTAGTGGATATTCAGATGGAATTTGAATTTTAGGTAATGATTTAGATGAAATACTCTAGGCTTCATTTATCCTTTACCTGAGACACACATGTCAGTTCATATTGTAGAACACAATACCACGAAGCACATAGCAGTTCGCCTCTACAAAAATAAGGATTAAGTAACCAATTTAATGACTGGAGATTATTGTTTCTTTTTGATGGACAATCTTCTGCAAAATGAAGTAGCCACTCATGTCTTAATTGTAAGTAACAGGAAAATGTGACTGAGATTAGATTCCACCTGGGGGATGGGGGGGGGTACAGTGTGTGCTTGATGATCAGAAACTGGCATCCCTTAGTTCAGTAAAAATAATTTTAAAGTCATTGAATAATAAAAAAATAATTTATCACAATGCCCAGTACTTGAAACACTCTAAAATGCTAGATAAATCTAAATAAAAACCAAAAATTTATTTTTCATTAATGTCCCCTCTCACAGATGACTCTCTAAGAAACTCCAAAACTATGATGTTAAGGACATTATGTGGAACCCACAGGCTTCATGAAACTCCATACAAAGCTCACCTTGTCAGAGGCCTCAGAAGCCAACAGGTTAGTTGCAAGGGTTTGCAGCTTATGGTGGGCCACATTTTTGAGGGCGGCAAGACTACGTCTTGTCATAGCCTGTTTCAGGTTGACTGCCGGGTGGCTAAGTGAATCAACTGCAGCAGGAACTGCTTCGTCACAAGCGTTCAGTATCTCTACTGCTGTTATCCCCATCACGCAGCGATCCAGTGCACCTGGAAAGCAAGGATATTCACCTAGATTACACCATGCTATAAACTTCTAATTTGCTTTTTTAGTTTCAGAAAAAAATTGGCATAAAATTTTACATAGAAATATGTTTTATCAGTACTTCTCACAAGTATCACCTTATACATCCTTTCCCTAATAATCTTCCATGGAAATTCCACAAGCATTCTTCTCTCTTAAGACCTCACAGCTTCCCAGTAAAGTCCCAGTCAAAGAGAGTTTTTTTAATATTTTTATTTATTTATGCTATGTGTATGAATGTATTGCCTGTATGTATGTAAGTGCACCTGTGTTGTGCAATGGTATTGTGCAATGTTTGTGGAGGTCAGAAGACAGCATTGGATTTTCTTGGAATTGAAATTATGAACAATTGTTAGCTGCCATTGTGGATTCTGGGAATTGAACCTGGGTCCTCTGCAAGAGCAATTAGCAACTAGTAGCTTAACTACTGAGCCAACTCTCTAGTCCCCAATAGCCAAGACTTGAGAACCTCCATCATGCTTTTCCTCTTCTGTTTCTCGGGGGGGGGGGGTTCCTTGACTATTCCCATACTTTTATATTGTTTACAAACACTGAATTCAATGATCTCACCTTTCTCAGAGTTGTATGTCAACATTATATAAACAACAACAACAAACTTACTAAAATGTGTCCATTTTCTCCTTCAATAATTCCTGAAGCTGTTTCCCTAGGAAACAGCCACAGAACCAGGGGGAAAAAAATACTGTATCTTCCCCATTTAGTCTGCAAAACTTTCTTTTGCAGCCCTAATGAGTGAATCCAGCGTCTTGCACAGGCTAGGCAAGTGCTAAGTACTGTGCCACTGAGCTACATCCCCAGCCTCTTGATTCTCATTGTCTCATCACCCAAATGATTTCCATATGTTTGCAAAATATATCTATTTCTACTCACAGCTACTTCAAAGTACCTCCTTTGGCCTTCCTTTCCATTCATTTCCATCTATAGACTTCCTAAGACAGAACACAAACTTTCCCCTGCATAGCAGAGACTTCATCAACATCTTTCATACTCGTTATTTTTTTCATATATTATTTTTATTATTATTTTATGTGAGTGAATGTATTACCTGCATGTATGTAAGTGCACCTGTGCTGTGCAATGTCCACAGAGGTCAGAAGAGGGTGTCGGATCCCTTGCAACTGAAGTTACAGATGGTTGTTAGCCACCATGAACCCAGCTCCTCTGCAAGAGTAGTCAGGGCTCTTTTTTTATAAATATTTTATTTATTATTTTTATTTTATGTGTATGAGTGTTATGTTTGCATGTAGGTAAGTGTAACTGTGTCATGTAATGCCCACGGAGCACAGAAAAGGGTGTCAGATTCCCTGGAACATGGCAGTTGTTAGCTGCCATGTGGGTACTGGGAATCAAACCCGGGTCTTCTGCAAGAACAGTTAGTCAGTGCTCTTAACTGCTGAGCCATCTCTCCAGCCCTGTAGTCAGTGCTCTTAACTGCTGAGGCATCTCTCTAGCCCATACTCAGGTTAATTTACTGATTTCTCCCTTTCTGCTTTATTTTCTCCATAATTCTAATTGCCAGCTAACCAATTGTATACTTAAGGTTTTTTCTAACATGTATTTATTTTTATTTTATGTGTATGAGGGTTTTGATGGCATGTATGTAAGTGCAACACATGCATACAGTGCTTGAGGAGGCCAGAAGAGGACACTGGAGCTCCTGAAACTGGAGTTACAGGTGGTTGTGCACTGTCATGTGGGTGCTGGAAACCAAATCTGGATAATCTGCAAGAGCAGCAAGTGCTTTTAACCATTGGGTCATTGCTCCAGTCTCTATTGCAGGAGTTTCTGACATGCCTCTATAGGCAAGAACTATATACTGCACAAGAGCTAGAGAGTTGGGGGTATTCTGTCCACTGTAGTGTGCCTATATGTAGTATTAAATATTTGCTGGTTAATTGGACACACAAACAACAACTTAAAATACAGTTATTACCAATCCATGAGAAAACAAAAGTTCAAAGGATATAAAATTTTAAATAAAGAAATACAAATGTGTAAGAATCGTATGAAAAAAATCAGCCTCATTAATATTATTAATATTAATTATTAACAATATTATATTAACATTATTTGAAAAATTCAAATTAAAATAGCAATGTACTATT